AGTTCTCTCTTGAAAATAGCCAGGTGTCTATTAGTAATTTCCCTTATATATGACCGGAAGCTGTTGAACAGTCTAGGCCTCCTGACACTTATTGTGTTTTCCCTTAGTATGTTCATGGAGCCCTTATTTTTCATTGGGGGGTATGTTGCACCGTCTGCCTATTCTTTTACTTTCATTGGGAGTGATTTCTGCTAACAGATTTGGGTCCACTCCTAGGATTTTCTAAGTGTATATTATGATGTATCTTTCGCGCCTGCATTCCAGGGAGTACATATTAAGAGGACTTCAAACATTTCCCCTAATTGAGGTGCTTGACTGCACTAATACGTACAGTGAAGATTCTCCGTACATTCTCTAGATCTGCAATTTCGCGAGCCTTGGTGCGACTGTTAGTATACAACAGTATTCCAGGTGTGGTCAAGCATACTTAAGGCTTGTATGAGGTGCTGTCAACGATACTGAAGAACAAGAGCGAACTGGTAAAACTTCTCTCAGATCGAAACGTTGATTGCATAAATATTTGTCTTGAAACTTGTGTCTTCTCTCCATCATAGGCTCTGCCTGGCCTGGGTCAATAGGCCTAGGGCAGCGCTCCACACACACACCCACACAAATGCTCCCAGGGCTGTGAATCGACCCCTGGAAACCAATATATAGGTGAGTACACACACACACGCACATACACACACATCTACCAGCAACATACGTACATGTATTCACTTCTCGTCCTTCCTACGCAAAAAGAAAGAAAGATAAATCTAGCTTGTGTAATTGCATTGTCTTGGGCGTTGATTACACTGACCAACACTGAGGTAGGAGAGGCGAGTGCAGTGATCCAGACGTATTATGAAAACGTTATACCAATTATCAAACTTAAGCACAACAGTGCTGCTCTCCTTGGTTTGTGTGTCTACTGTCGTATTCGCGTCCTGACGAGACGCGCCAGGTTCGATCCAAGGAAGGTGATCCTACCTACCTCACCAGCGCCAAGACACTACCTAGCAAAACCTTCCTGAACGGTGTTATTGTCTCTGTGTTGTTATATCCTGGGAACACTTGCTAGTCTGTTTCCTCCCCTAACCCTCCCCTCCCCTCCCATATTACATCTGTGGCACCCAACCCGAGGGGAGGGGATGAGGGGGGGAGGGGGTGCGCTGGGGAGGGGAGGGATTAGAGGAGGGGGAGGTACCCTGGACCTGGTCAACATGCTAAAAATCTCTCTCTCTCTCACAACATCCGGAAATCATTAAGTAAACTCTGTGTGTATATTTACTACTGGTGTGTGTAGTAGCCAGAGTGGCTCTATTTCCGTAGCGGCTGCCCTGGGGGCCCTGGTGTGGCCCTGGCGTGGCCTTGGCGGGGCGGCGAGACGTCGTCGACGCTCAGATAGTCGGGAACGACACGCTCCTCTTTGAGGGTTCAACAGACGTAGGAGAAAGCTGGAAGCTCCAGGTAAAACGCTAAACTCAATGGGGCCAAGCAGCGTCTGGAGAATTGGGGGAAATGGGAGGCAATCAGGTTCGATCAAGGGAAGGGAAGGATAGCTCCGGTTTCCCCTGAATCAAGAGCCCTTTACCAGCGTCTAGGCACCTCCCTCGAAGACTGCCTGGATCGAGGAAAGAAGAAATTACTTGAAATAATGACTCGTAAGCCTAGTAACCCAGTATAGCCCAAGAAAGCCAGTCAGCGAAGCTTATTTCCACTGGGATCCATTGGTCTTCTTCTCCCAGGGTGCGACCCATACCACTCACCTAACACCCGGGAGCTTATTTACTACTAGGCGGAAAAGGGGCAGCAGGTGTTAAAAGACTTGCCCACACGTCTCGTCCCAGACTAGAACTGATGAATATACACATGTACAACACTAAACTGCTTGTATTGTTCTGATGTTTCGACCAATCAATTTTTTTTCACTCCAGTACTTAGAGTATAAACACGAAGCTGTATAGTAAGTAGAAAAGTAATTTTAAAGGTGTTCAGTCCCTAAGTCTTGATAGGTGTTCAGTCCCTCAGTCTTGATAGGTGTTCAGTCCCTCAGTCTTGATAGGTGTTCAGTCCCCCAGTCTTGATAGGTGTTCAGTCCCTCAGTCTTGATAGGTGTTCAGTCCCTCAGCCTTGATAGGTGTTCAGTCCCTCAGTCTTGATAGGTATTCAGTCCCTCAGTCTTGATAGGTGTTCAGTCCCTCAGTCTTGACATGTGTTCAGTCCCTCAGTCTTGACATGTGTTCAGTCCCTCAGTCTTGATAGGTGTTCAGTCCCTCAGTCTTGACATGTGTTCAGTCCCTCAGTCTTGACATGTGTTCAGTCCCTCAGTCTTGATAGGTGTTCAGTCCCTCAGTCTTGACATGTGTTCAGTCCCTCAGTCTTGATAGGTTTTCAGTTCCTCAGTCTTGATAAGCGTTCAGTCCCTCAGTCTTGAAAGGTGTTCAGTCCCTCAGTCTTGATAGGTGTTCAGTCCCTCAGTTTTGATAGGTGTTCAGTCCCTCAGTTTTGATAGGTGTTCAGTCCCTCAGTTTTGATAGGTGTTCAGTCCCTCAGTTTTGATAGGTGTTCAGTCCCTCAGTTTTGATAGGTGTTCAGTCCCTCAGTCTTGATAGGTGTTCAGTCCCTCAGTTTTGATAGGTGTTCAGTCCCTCAGTCTTGATAGGTGTTCAGTTCCTCAGTCTTGATAGGCGTTCAGTCCCTCAGTCTTGAAAGGTGTTCAGTCCCTCAGTCTTGATAGGTGTTCAGTCCCTCAGTTTTGATAGGTGTTCAGTCCCTCAGTTTTGATAGGTGTTCAGTCCCTCAGTCTTGATAGGTGTTCAGTCCCTCAGTTTTGATTGGTGTTCAGTCCCTCAGTTTTGATAGGTGTTCAGTCCCTCAGTTTTGATAGATATTCAGTCCTTCCGCCTTGATAAACCAAAAGCAGATATACGAGGATAGAGGGTTATATACTGAAGCCAAAGGAGAGGTGCAGCAGTTGAAGGTGTCGTCACAAGTGGGTGGGGCTCAGTAGCGGAAGTAGGCTATGCCTGAGCGTTGTGCCAAAGGTTAGCAATAGCGTTGTAGAAGATATCCTCTGTATCAAGATTCCATGGTGTTGCTGTGTCAAACAGGCATCAATCACTGCACTGAAGTATATCATTATTAATCCGGTTACGTGTCTGAGTCGAAGAAGCTGATTGTAATATCCAACAGTAACTCCAGCGCTGGCGAACGTAAACCTACGAAGCTCCTG